TTTATTTTCCTGCGGCCAGAGTTGGATCGTCACTCTCCAATATACTTGCTGTTTTTCGTACTATATAAAAGGAATATAGTCTGGGATATTCCTGGAGAAAGCTACCACTATCTATTAAGATAAGTGTTTTCCCATCACATTATTTATTTGTATAAAGTGTTGGATGTATACAGGGAGTGCAGAATTATTAGGCAAGTTGTATTTTTGAGGATTAATTTTATTATTGAACAACAACCATGTTCTCAATGAACCCAAAAAACTCATTAATATCAAAGCTGAATATTTTTGGAAGTAGTTTTTAGTTTGTTTTTAGTTTTAGCTATGTTAGGGGGATATCTGTGTGTGCAGGTCACTATTACTGTGCATAATTATTAGGCAACTTAACAAAAAACAAATATATACCCATTTCAATTATTTATTATTACCAGTGAAACCAATATAACATCTCAACATTCACAAATATACATTTCTGACATTCAAAACAAAACAAAAACAAATCAGTGACCAATATAGCCACCTTTCTTTGCAAGGACACTCAAAAGCCTGCCATCCATGGATTCTGTCAGTGTTTTGATCTGTTCACCATCAACATTGCGTGCAGCAGCAACCACAGCCTCCCAGACACTGTTCAGAGAGGTGTACTGTTTTCCCTCCTTGTAAATCTCACATTTGATGATGGACCACAGGTTCTCAATGGGGTTCAGATCAGGTGAACAAGGAGGCCATGTCATTAGATTTTCTTCTTTTATACCCTTTCTTGCCAGCCACGCTGTGGAGTACTTGGACGCGTGTGATGGAGCATTGTCCTGCATGAAAATCATGTTTTTCTTGAAGGATGCAGACTTCTTCCTGTACCACTGCTTGAAGAAGGTGTCTTCCAGGAACTGGCAGTAGGACTGGGAGTTGAGCTTGACTCCATCCTCAACCCGAAAAGGCCCCACAAGCTCATCTTTGATGATACCAGCCCAAACCAGTACTCCACCTCCACCTTGCTGGCGTCTGAGTCGGACTGGAGCTCTCTGCCCTTTACCAATCCAGCCACGGGCCCATCCATCTGGCCCATCAAGACTCACTCTCATTTCATCAGTCCATAAAACCTTAGAAAAATCAGTCTTGAGATATTTCTTGGCCCAGTCTTGACGTTTCAGCTTGTGTGTCTTGTTCAGTGGTGGTCGTCTTTCAGCCTTTCTTACCTTGGCCATGTCTCTGAGTATTGCACACCTTGTGCTTTTGGGCACTCCAGTGATGTTGCAGCTCTGAAATATGGCCAAACTGGTGGCAAGTGGCATCGTGGCAGCTGCACGCTTGACTTTTCTCAGTTCATGGGCAGTTATTTTGCGCCTTGGTTTTTCCACACGCTTCTTGCGACCCTGTTGACTATTTTGAATGAAACGCTTGATTGTTCGATGATCACGCTTCAGAAGCTTTGCAATTTTAAGAGTGCTGCATCCCTCTGCAAGATATCTCACTATTTTTGACTTTTCTGAGCCTGTCAAGTCCTTCTTTTGACCCATTTTGCCAAAGGAAAGGAAGTTGCCTAATAATTATGCACACCTGATATAGGGTGTTGATGTCATTAGACCACACCCCTTCTCATTACAGAGATGCACATCACCTAATATGCTTAATTGGTAGTAGGCTTTCGAGCCTATACAGCTTGGAGTAAGACAACATGCATAAAGAGGATGATGTGGTCAAAATACTCATTTGCCTAATAATTCTGCACTCCCTGTATTTTGTTTGCTTAACAGACAGCCGCTAGAGGCTGGATTAACCCTCAGTGTAAACATAGCAGTTTATCTGAAACTGCTATGTTTTCAGCTGCAGGGTTAGAACTAGAGGGACCTCGCACCCACACAACTTCCTGGATCTGAAGTGGTCTGGTTCCTTATAGTGGTCCTTTAACAGATACACACTCAAAGACACAAACATATTCTCTCACACACACAAAATGACAGACACGCACACATTCACTCACAGGCACAAAGTGACACACACACATTCACTCACTAACACACACCCTGATACTGACATACTCACACACATTGTCTCATACACTTACAAAGTGTGTGTGTGTGTGTGTGTGTGTGTGTGTATATATATATATATATATATATATATATATATATATTTGTGGTCGGTTAATTAGTGACTGTGAAATACCATATGATTGGTTAAAGTCGGTGAGGTGTGCCGGAACCGACGTAGGGTGTAGGCCTGTAAAAAAGAGGGCAAAAAAAGATTGCAGATAAACACACTTTATTCTTAACATAATTATGATACAAGGTTCTTAAATGCTTGTCTTAACTCTTTCTCGGGGTGTGGTATGTATCTGTGGTATATAGCAGATTCCCAACGCCCTAATTTTTTAATTATGTGAACTAGCATATTAGTACTGGACGGGGCTGATGCGTCCCCTATTCTGAATGAATGTCCAGCATGAGATGCGGGGTCTCAGCCTAATTTAATGCACAGAGTACGAATGTAAAACATGAACTTGGTAGTAGTTAGGGGATTGCCTAACAGTGTAAAAAGCGGAGAGTGGCTGGGATTATCTTTTGATCTGTGCTAAGTAAGTGTCTAGGACTTTAACCGGGCACCAGTTATTTCCAGTCGGGTAAAAGGGTATTTCAACCGGATGGCCTGTTTGTCTGGTCTTTGAATGTCGGAGTGATAGGATGTAATGGTCATTTACCTTTTTTAAATCCTCTTTGATGAGACATAATTGATTGTCTGATTGTATTGCAATCATGAATTCTCTAGGCCTTAGGAACCCATAAAATGCTATATACATAGAGGTTTTTATAACTAGGTTTGTGCAAGGATCAAATGGTAGTGTGTCCAGTATGTCAGATAATGCCCGGAATTTCTCCCCATCTATGGGTAGGCGTTTGTTTGTAGTGTGATGATCAAGTTTATTTATGCCTTTTTAATATATTTTTTTTTATCTGGTAAGTACTGAGGAAAGGAGTATGATTTGGAATGGCATGGCGGTCAAGACGTGGTGCTGTATGCCAGACAGGTAAAGTTTTAATCGTGTTGTATGAAAGTTTGAGTTGAAGGTGGCAAAAAGCAGCAAATGTGATCATGGTTTGAACTGAATAGTCGTGTAAGTCGAATTCTACTGAGAACCTTTGGAAGGTGGTCATGGCTCTGTCGTATGTTCTCTTGGTATTCGCGGATAAGGCTACCTGAGCCAATTCGTAACTGTGTGCCATAACCTGGGCTAATCC